AGCCGAATGATCTCGCCATAAATCGCTTGGCCGGTAATCAGCACAAAGAAGCCGCAAAGCTGCAGCCTGCTGGAAGGAGTCCACTCTTCGCCAAAGGGCGACTCCGGATCCACTTTGTAGTGAATGAAAAGCCCAAATCCCCAGATGATCATTGTCCTGAATGCAAGGCCGCAACATGTTCACGTGCCCCTGAGAGATTCAAGATCATTGTCATACAGTTACTGTCATCGTCAGGTCGTGAACTGCAGGCTCAGGCTCGGCTGGGCTCCAAGCTGAGCGTGCTTTTGTCCCCAAGTGTCGCTGGCAAAGGCATGCTTGACTGAAATGACAAGAAGGCTTCAGAACCTCGAAGGCCGTCTGCCCCATGGGTTAACACAATTGTGATCTGAGTTAACTGACCCAGAACATGTTGGTGTGCGACGTGCCTTCGGCGATATGCAATCCGGCTTTCGAGCCTCGTGTAGTGACCCTGGTCTGGGGCTCTCCTTGTGTCCCGTGGTTGCGCTTTCAACGGACTTTGGCCCTGGAGGAGCCCCGCATTGGACACCAAGCAATCATGGTTCTTTATGGCCTTAGGCTGAAACTCTACAAGGAGCCCCGTGGACGGGCAAGCCATTCTCCAGGCCAGCGTGGCTTTTTGAGAAGTTATGCAGCTTTCTATACTGCAGAGAGCGAGAGAGCGACAAAGAGAGAGAGAGAGAGANNGGGAGGGAGAGAGAGAGGGAGAGAGGGAGAAAGAGAGAGAGAGAGAGAGAGACAGAGAGAAAGAGCAAGAGCTGCATAGACAGATAGGTAATAGGTACGTAGTAGGTAGATGGAATGCACTTATTCAGAGCAAAGCTATGGCTGCAGACCCCCCGGTTCACATCTGCTTGCCTGCATGTTTGTTCATCTTCGGAAGACACATGGTCACAGATCCTCGCGTGGCCGGAAAAACCGGCTGTCCTGGAAGCATCCAGCATCATTCGGTGCACGGCTGATAGAGCCCCGGTCACTGCAATTCCGGTGATGTTGAAGGCGCCGCAGGAAACCAAATAGATCATCACGACACACAGTAGTGCTTGACCTTGCATGCGGAGACACCTTTTTGAGCATAAAGCTCTTGACTATCTCCTCTTACTTTCAAGCTCAGCTTAGCTTTGCCTGGACTCTTTGACAGGTGACTGTTTTTGACTAGAGTAAGCGTATCCACAATGTCCTCGGCGTGCCCATGGTCTGGACCAGGCAAGAACCAGAGCGTTGGGTACACCACCACGACCATCATCAGCACACCCCATAGGCCCTCGTAGCCAATAATCTCTACTGCCGGAAGGTCCACATCCTTCATGAGGTACTCCTCCGCAATGACCTCGGTCGCTGGGGCTATGGCCACTCTGGCCAGGTCAAAGTTGCCGCTTACTACACGTGCGTGCTGCACCGCGATGCAATGTGGCCTGGGCAGCTTGGACCACTTGTCCGAGCAGTGTCAATGTAACTCCAAATGCCACAGATGATGTGTCTTGTGCCCCTGGTCCACTCTTTTCGCCCTCCACGCTGGCATAGCCGACTGTCACGACACCTGCATCAATGATCTGACTCGAACCAGAGATGCAGCTCACGCGAGAAACACAGGTCGGGTACTTCGCCAACGTACTGTCAATCGCTCAGGACATGTGGTCGCAGCAATGGCCTGTGATGCAAAGCAGAAGACCGATCCAGTTGAAAACATAGAGCTTGTGCTTCAACAGCGTGACGGAAAAGATGCCCGTAAAAAATAAGGTTGCACCTCAAGAAGCACAATCCACGCGTACCATCTTGCAACACTTCCATGATTGCCCGAGGAACAGCGCATGCGACAAATCCAACCGATTCTGTAGACTACGTTGAATCATGCTGCGCTGCTACATGTTGTCATGACATGTTATGACGTTGGGGCAAAGACCCCTGAGCATTTGCCACACGCTGGCTGGGATGTACATGATCCCGATGCAGGCCAGAACTGTCGCCAGCAAATCACTGAAAGCAGGGACAGCCACCAGCAGAATCTTCTTCCGTCTGTCTGCATCCGATCCTGGAATGGTTCATGGGCGGCACTCAATTTCATCGGAACCACCACTACGAATTACATGTAGTCAAGGCACCGACTGATTTTGGCAGGAGTGCATCCTCTGACACACGAAGCGAAGCAGCCGGAGATGAACAGGCAGGCTGCACAGACAGCTTCCACTCGTTAGTCGCCAGATTCGCCAGCTATGATGTCAATACGACTACATGCGAAATATGTACAGCGCGTAAACACTGCGTCACCAGCTGCTCTTGCATGAGGCTTCTGGCTTGGCCGCTTTCTGTCTCACTTGCACATGCAGGGGTTGATGGGACCCCATGCCGACTTCGATAGCACAGGAAGCAAAGTTCACACACCTCTCCCACCCCCCCCCCCCAACACGCTGACTCCTGAGCGAGTTGCTCGAACCATCAACTGATGCGGATTGAAAAAGATCCATCAGCAACAGGGTTCCCCGCATGCGCACAGCCAATCACCGCGGCGAAACATAAGGGAGCGATTGGGCATACTGAAAACAAGTCTGCCAAGCTAGGCATAGAGGACAGGGCCAGAAAAGTCTGGGAGCAAATAACAGTCCCACACAGGGCAATTGAAGTAGTCCTCCATCTTCATGCGAGGACGAACGCAGGCCGCAGCCAAGCTGGTTCCGAGCCGCTCCACCGCCATGACAAGCGACATAGCCTCAACCGTCTTTCGCTGTTATGCACTGGACCATCATCCATACATCCTCTACGATTGCATATATACCTCCGAACCCCGCAGCTACAGCCAGTACTGGGACCGCTGCAAAAAGCATGTTGAAGGTTCCAAACCACGGCTTGTGGAAGACCTCTGGCGTGCCGTCCTTACATGCATCGCATTGCTGTAGCAACACTATGTTCCACACCACGCGCAAGCAAGCTATAAAAGATTTAATGGAAGCCTTCTTGTCTTCAAGTAGTGCTAAAAGCTCTCAGACCTAGCTAGTGTCCCATCTGCCAGAAACTTATGGCTTGAAAAGCTTCCATGGGGTTAAACCTAAAGCAAGTGTGGACCAAGGGCTGTGCCTGCACGGCCCTACTTGCGCAGTGTTTGAGATGTCGCAAAGTCTGTAGAGTCAAGCCACAAGGCCGATGCTTGTCAAGCCAAACTGGACCTTTGTGGCCAAGGTGTTCACTGTACCCGTCAGCAGCATCCCAGCCACATAGATCACTACCAGCCATGTAGGTGTTTTCCTCGGCTGGGCTTTGACGGGTTGCATTTCATGCCTCAAGCGGACAGCCGACAGCCGTCGTTCTGATGACAGCTCAGGATCCTCTGCGCCATGCCGGAGTGCAGCCGGATGATGTCTCTGCCCCGCTCTAAATCCCTTTAGCGCAAACAGCCTATTTTGAGGTGTTTGGCAACTCTATAAAGTTGCACTTCATTCAACATTGGCTTTTCAGTCTGCTTCGTCATTCCTTGAGCCATCAGAAACCTGCAAAGCTACTTTTGGATTGCGCAGCCGACCAACTGCACTGAGATGAAGCCCAGCTCTCCCAGAGCCAAGGCACGTTGGGCGAGATTGCTGCTCCAACGGTCAGCCTAAGCGCAGAGCCAGTGTGATTTGTGAATAGGAAGCCCATGAGGTCTTGATTAAGACGTACTCTTCATCCAGCTGATTGTTGTCCTACAGGGAGAAATGGTGCTGGATGGAGCGTAGTTGGGCTTAGAGGACGCCATCCCAAACCCATCTGGGCTTGCTTTGTGAATAATGCCCTGTTGTCTGCCAGCACAACCAACGTTTCCTTTTGGGTGCTGTGGCAATCTCATCTGGGCTTGCGACCAAAGCTTCTGACGGCAGCAATGGCAGGGTCTCTCCAAGACTGGCAGAAGGAAGGTTCAATCTAATCTTCGACTGCTGATGCTCCGGCAGAAATGCAGCTCATGCAGCAATGAGTGCTACACGACGCAAAGGGACGGGACAAGGTGTGCATGAAAATCCAACTTAACAAACAACTTCGACATCTGTTGGCGTTCGCTTGGAACCTGAATTATCTTGCGGTGGCAATTCTAAATTTCTTTACCTTCTGGACCAAGCGTTCAGCTGTGTTCCAGCGAGTGCTGTCCTTCTGGCTGGAGCGGCGGGTTCTGTCGGTGGTGTTGTAATCTTGAGAGTTTCGGACTTGCAGCTTAAATGCTTAACAATCCCGACACGAGTTGCAATGACGCCATCTGAGGCCGAAACAGCACTTCCGCGGCAGTGTGCAAAGAGCTCGTTGGCAGCTTGGCCTCAGCTCGCAGCACCTCAGCGTCAAAGATTGTCGACGGTTTTCGACTCTTCTGGGTGGCATTTTACTCTGATGTGGCTCTCAGCAGCCTTAGCATCTTGCTACGGCTCATCAGGATGCAGCGTCTTCTGGCAAGCAAGCTTCAGACCCGCCAAACGTTGAGAACCAACCGGCCAGGCAACTCAAGGCCTTCGAAGAATCTAACGAAGAAGCTCGCCACCCGCGGACATGCCTCCATGGTGAGAGACTGAGGCGCCAGGCCTCCACTCATCTGCTCCGGGGGGTACAGTTTGCGAGGTGCACCTGTGAAAGAGCCGGAACTCGGACAACAGGGCGGGGGACAGATAATTTGCTGATCATTGTCACAGTGCCTTTGGCCGCGGGTGGGTGCGATGCTGTCTGCCTACTATGCTCAAGCTCAGCGGCACTCAGTTCCCAGCCTGTTTGCTCGGGGCTGCCGTGAGTATCTGCGGCCAGGTACTAGGAATAAGCAGCAACATCTTGCACGAAAAACAGTGGCCTGCAACCTGGCTGGACATTGCCGCAGCCTGCAGAAGGTGGAAAGTGATTGGATGCGCACCGACGAAGTCCCGCAACCTATGAGGTATGTAACACGGGCAGGAACATGGCAGAAGTTCAATTATCCTAAAGGTCCTAAAGCAAATGTGAGGGACATGTGCACTCTATCCGTGGGTCGAGCGGGTTCTACTCGGAGCTTCAATTTTCTCCGACTGGGTTTCGACTTTGAAACGGGTCATAGTTACGATGGTGCAGAGGAAGTCACACGTCCTTTACCCAGTCACTTAGTAAAACAAAGCAACTGCATGTAACTACGCCGCATCAACATACGGCCATATGTTTGCAGCGCATCGCGCCTCCTGTTGACCACCAGACCTTGAATTGGCTGCTGCACGTGCCAGGTCTTGCGAGAAACCTGCAGCATCGATGGCATGGTCACTGTTTTGATGCAAGACGCCTTCCTTCTGTGCTTCGTGCCTCTCAGGCCCAATGTCTGGGCACGGGAAATTAGTCGTCCAAGGGATCCTTTTACGACGTCCTTGGTCGTTGTCCAGCAAGTCTCTGACTGTGACAAGGATGCGACAGCGGGTATTACAATGCAGCAGATCTTAAACAGCTTGTGTTCTCAAGTCCACGCTTAACGCAAGGAACACGACCGGCCTCCCAGCTTGTCCCCCTTCTTTGTATACATGCTGAGGGTAAGGCCCTTACGTGCCACACACGGAGAGCTGGATCGAGAAATATGGGGCAGCAATTTCAACTTGCACTGTATTGATTCATCCTCTTTGACGATCCGGCGAGCTTTTGACATTAGTCCGTCGTGAAATGGTTCGCTGTCCGCGTGCTCCGCTTGCCAGACACAATCCGGCTCGCTCGCAGGAGCCCTGTATTCTCGAGACACATGGTTCGCATCGGCCAGTGGGCCATTATGAATGGTCTTGCAGTCTTGCACTTGTGAAATCCGTCGGTGGAAGGGCCGTTGACCACAAGGCTTTCGTCGCGGGCCCTTTCGTAGAAGTTTCGGTGTTGAGAACGCACGACAAAAAACATGCACGCATCAAGTGGTGATCCAGTGGCCCTCGGGTCCAACCCATCAGCTACATCGGAGGGGCACACGCAAGAAGAGCAACAACAGGAGCAAGATGCAAAAACCTACACCATGAACAGAAGCGGTGTGCATTGTCGTTGGACACATAACTCCTCACAATGTGCACCAACCGCGGCCTGACTGACCTACACCCTGTTTCGAGCTCAAGTTAGCTCCTGCCGAAAGCCTAGACTAGCAGTCAAACCTGTTCCAGCAGTCCAAGCAGCCAGGGGATCACCGGGAGTTGTCTGTTGTGGATCGTAGAGCTTACGAGAGTGTGCACTTGGCCTGTGCGCTTTTGCAGCCGCAAAACCGAACGGCCCGAACCGACCTCGAAGCTCAAAGCATAACCGCCCACCCTGCCGAGCGCAACACCGCGGGCAGCAGTTTGTTTGTTCCTTTTTAACCTACCACCAATCCTTCACGGCTCGGCAGACAGTCAGGCCTGCCCGAAAACGCCAAAGCAATCCTAAATGACCCAAATCTTGAATTGGGCCCGCTCGTGAGCCCAGCCCCAAATCAGCCTGAACCCTTTGACCTGCAAGCAGGTTGAACCTCAATTCCTTCTAAATACCCAAAGTCCGGAAGGACAAGTCTTCGAATTGCAGTGATATGTAGAGAGGAGGTTGGGGTGATTGCAGTTGGCACAATATGGCACGATGATCTGTGGTGAGCCTGCAGTCCTCTGCCCGGGGTTTTGATCTACCTCCTCGTGCTGCTACCGTCCTCCTAATTCCCACACTGTTAGCATATTGCATGATCCGTTTGTGTTCCCACTCGGCATCACTCTGCGACATACCGACTTCCAGGCAAGCTGGGTGAACGGTGGCTAGTGTGACTGCTGGGGTGCCAGCATATCCCATCACGACAGCTGGATCTGTTTCCCGGAAAACGTCTGTCAGTGCGCCGAAGATGTCAACCTCCGAAGCAACCTCCTGACTCGATGGAAACAGCATGATGAGTAACAGTGCAACCATGGAATGAGTCGTCCTTCACCACGACAGCGGAATCAATCTTCAGAGTCTCTGAGCCCTCGATGCAGATCAGGCCAAGGCCGTCCTGTATCGGCCGAAGCTGAAGGGATCTGAAGGGATCTGAAGAAGCCATGCGTGTTTGCCATCCTCGGCCTGCGGTCCTGGTAGTCTTCTCCATCTTCCAGAAGCAGACTCCGAACCCGCTCCTGAAAGTGACCGGCCACCGGCCTTCAACTCCCAAGGCCAAGGGGCCAAAGGTGCCACCGTCTCAGCTCAGCCGAGCAGCGTCACGGATGCAGAAAGCCACGGCACCGATAGCATCGCTCTGAAACCTTTGAAAACTTAGCGACTTGTCATGTGTTTTTTGAAGAAAAGTTATATATGTTGGTGACGGAAACACGGGGAAGCGATGCTGGCACAATCAAGTCGCGGCTGTGCAGTGCCGCCTCTTGGAAGCTCTAGGACCTGCCAGGGCATCCGCAGTCTGCAGACGTGCGCAGATGTCTGCAGGACGATGGCAAGACGACGCATTGGATCGCATTGCTCTGGCCTCGATGGTCAGCAGGGTGCCGAAGAGAGGTGCAGTATCTGAAGCCTGGCATAGCGGCTTTGGCGGAGCTGGCGTCGGTGGTGTTGCCTGCAGTGCCGAAACCAATGAGCAGATACGAGCTGCAGTCAGTGGTACTGTAAACTCTGTTCCTTCGAGACCCACCTCAGAAAGGGAAGCCTGTCTGCTTCGCTGCAACCGCTTTCCTTCTTAGGACAGCGAACACTTGCCTTCTTAGGACAACGAAAAGCCCACCTACAGGACCAAGAGCTCGTTATGGGTGTGTAGAACACAAGATTGCAAGGGTCCTTGCTTCTCTGTTGCCGCCTTGCGCCGAAGGGTAGTCAACCGGCCTCTTTGCTGACAATGTTGAGCAGAACTTTTCTGAGACTTGCATATCCATACAGTAGCAGCAACAGACATAGGCAGGACGTGGCAGCAAGCAGCTTACATCAGGCATGCTGTGGATAACGCCGATACTTGCTGCCCAAACAATGAACAGCTCGTGCTACCAAAAGTCACGAGCGGGGTCCCATGCTTTCCTCAGTTTCTTTTCCTTTTGCAGAATCGAACTACACCGGAAGTCAATTATAACAATCAATGCATTAATCTCTTCCCCCTAACATTAAACGCCCCCCCCCCTAATATATAAACTGAAATGCGGCGGTTTGGTTTTTTATATTAGGGGGTATTAGGGGTGTTTTCGGCTTAGCCCCCAAGCTCTAAAGCCTTAAACCCTAAACCTTAAACCCTAGAGCCTTAATTAAGTAAGCCCTAAACACCTAAGCCCCAAAGCCTGGAGCCCTAAGCTTTAAACCCTAAAGCCTTAAAACCTAAAGTCTTAAGGGCTGAGCCCTTAACTTCTAAAGCCCTCGTCCTTTTGGTTTAGTACTACTGAAGTCTTGGCTCTATTAAAACTCATACAGTCCTAGGCCCCCCCTAATGTTTTTAATTAGCTTTCAATTGTGGTCCCGAAATCGCAAAATTCCGGGGGCCTTCAGTTTGCAAATTTGGGGGGGTTTAAGTTAGTGGGAAGTGATTACTGTACATCGCCCGGCGCTATCGCTATCTGGCTTTTGCAGACAGAGGAGTGGTTCACAGAAGGGTCTTAGCCAACACTCGCAGAGCCGTCCAAACTAGAATGTTACACAACATGCCAGCCAGGCCCGCATTGTCAAACTTGGTGATTACGTCGTCTCCTGCTGGGGACTGTGCGCACGCTCCTCGAGCGGAAGGTGCTGCGGACAGGCCTTCGTCGTCTTGCAGACGCTTGACGTTCAACCGTGCGGTGGCCTGTGATGGCACAGGCGACAGAGGCACATACGGTGGGAACAGCTGCAGAGTACTGTGCTGCTCGAATGTTTTCGAATGTGCTACCGATACTCCTCATTGCCAACCTAACTTCCGAAACTAAGAAGTACCTCCATCGCGATGCTGCACTTGAGAGCCCAGAGCATAAGATTTCGGTGAAGCTGTCAGACGGCGATTCTTCGAGACCCCTTCAGACCTCGTACGCTGGTGGCGGCTGCCAATACTCCCATACTCCGGCCTTTCGGAATCGTGCTGGGACCGAACTGCGTTGCAACCGATGATTGGATCATTGGGCCTGCTCGGTAGCCGCTGTGCCCAAGGTGCCCATGTCATCAGGCCTTCCACGGTTGCCACGTTTGGAAACTCGGCGACTATCTCTCTCTCTCTTGCTTGCTTGCTTGCACAGCGTTTGGGCACGGGGGAAAACCCCCGAAACCCTGCGCTCACGCGCTATCTCTCTCTCTCTCTCTCTCTCTCTCTCTTACACATCCGATTGTAGTGACCGCGATCTGAAGCGAGCTCTTCGTCATGGTGCCATCCACAACACGTCTGGATTCTGAGAAATTTTGCAAACCCCTGCGCCAGTTGCGTGGCAAGGGGGTGTTCCTCCGAACGTGTGTGTTTGTTGGTCCTGGCTGCACCGGTGCTCCGACTCTTCTCTTGATGCCAGGCTTCCATGATGCAGTCCAGGCCGCAAAAGAGACCGCTAAAGCCGACACAAGTTCTGACTGCATCTTTGTTTACGCACCCACCTTCCTTCCTCTTCCTGCCTGCCTTCCTTTCCTTCGTGTACTCAGAGCTTCTACACATTGAATCAGCATGCTAAGTATATGAAAGCACCGGGGAGGCGGCTCTGAAAAGAAACCTTTTGCTGGTGGTAGTGGACCTTGCATGCGAGATGATGGCCGGGCCGGGGCGACATGTCCGCAGACGGGACTGAGGCCGGTCACCAGAAGCCTGCCGGACTGGGGCACAAGCCCTGTTCGGAACTCTGAACGGCATCCGCTATGATCGGAAAAAGATCAGCCTAAGGGTCAATTAACTTCAGAATAGCTGAAGCCCTGCAGTCAGGCATTCCATCGCAGGCATATTGCTAAGTGCCGCACAGGCCTCACAGGTGACATGGACGTGTGACCCCTTTTCGGCCTGGGGTGGATTCTTATGACGTAGCGGCAAGCTTCAATTGACAGAAGCCCGGCAACTTGCCGTGCCCTACGAAAAGACGCGGACAACCAACAACTCAAAGCCCGCCACTGCGTTCGAGCCTCTTGAATTCACAAAACCAGCATGCATGGCACACTTGTCAGATTGTGCCCTTTACGACTGCCGACTGTCGAGCCCGCTTGCTTTTGCTTTTGCATGCTCTTGGGATCTGGCAAGTCGGCCTCACCGCATACCCGGAACTCAACTGCATCATGCATCGCTCAATGTCTCAAAGTGCACGCCTGCGTCGCCGAGTCCAGCTGTGTCGGAGCACACTCCGTCGACTCCGCCGCCGCCAGCTCAGCATCCAACCTGTAAAGAGAACGTCTTGTAGCTTCACACATTTAATTTTAGAAGCTCACGAAGCTGCAGCTCACAAGTAACAGAAGCGACAAGGCGACAAGAGTCCGCCTTTCACTCAGGTGCTGGCGCTTCGGCCTCCTGATCTTCGTCCAACTCTGTGGTGCCACAGTCCGTCTCAGGCTCGGTAGCCGTGTCGTCCTGGAACACCACATTGGCTGCCGTGAGGCCGTGAAGTCAGAAGCGGATGCTCAACCCGAGCCCCCGCGTGTTGCTGGATGGCAGTCTGCACATCATTCGCACAGAGAGAGGAGGAGAACACTGAGGAGAACCACGTCGACAATCTGAAATCGACTCCACAATTGACCCAACGATCGTGTGCCTAACCCAAGCTTAAAGACGTTTTCTGCACTTTCCGCATCTCACCATTTCCGTCGAAGAGCGTGACACGCTCATGGATGTTGAACTGCTTGGCTTGGCATAGGCATAGAGATTGCCATGTTTGATGGCGAGCATACTAGGATCTGGCTTTTCTGCACGGCAAGGCGTTTGACAAGGGAGGTATGAGATTTCGATGTGACCCATTACGGAGAAAGTGACTTCATCGCATTGAGATCCTCCAAGATCCTCCGCGCCTCACCTGACCCCTGACCCGGCTGGAACCCCCATTCAGCACAAGCATCTTGGTTTCCGAGGATCTGGCAACGGACTCAAAGTTCACGGTTCTTTTGCGGAGTGGAGTCTCGAGGAGGAGGGCAAAACCATTTCGGCGACTTTGGTGGATCGATGATTCAAGGTCTAGCCGCGAGCCGTCTAGCCTAGTTTGGAAGCCTGCCAACATGTTTGCACATTTCCCAGGCTGGGGCTACGTCAGCATCGGCTGGCAAGCGCCTTGCCCAGCCGACCCTACCACAGCATACCAACGTGAGGGCTTTTTCCCACGTTTATGCGCTGAAGAACCGCAGACACCAACGGGAAGGACGCTTCCACAGTCGCACAAATGCGGGACACGGCTCCCAGTAATGAATCAGTAAGGCTCGTAAGGCTCTGCAGGCAAGCTTGGCGACTGCAAATGTTCCGGCCGTCCTGCGGATCACTGTGCTGATAGCCTGAAGGCCACAGTGTTGCACTTAAAGGGTTTGGGTGGAATTCGATCAGTCAACCTGGCTACAAAGCATCATGGTGCGACTTTGTCACCCTGATCCAGCAGGGCCGTCGTGGCTTCATCCGCCGGCGGATCCCTTGGAACAAAGACCACGAGAACACGCACAAGATCACCGACAGATCGGCTACGAAAACCAGGAACTGGACAGAAGCAATCCTGAGTAGCCTGCACTTGCTGTGAAAGCGCCACCTTGTCAGATACAAAGGCAGCCTTTGATATCTTCCATGAGTTCGAGGTCAGGGCCTCCAAGGTCTCCAATGCCCTCACAAACTTAGGCGAGACCTTCCGTGATGCATGCAAGCTTCCCCATGTTTCGAGAGCATGACATCAATGGCTTGACTTCTGCAGCTGCAATCCAGTGCTTTCTCTGTCAGCTGGACTTGTAAGATACTGAAGCAGTCAATGCTGCCTTGCACTTGGTGTCGGCCTGCCAAAGATTGAGCATAACGGCTCCATTATCGTAAGTTATGTCACGCTCATTTTGTCCCGCTATGGTTTGCTGTCCACCTGCACCATGTCCGGCTGCGTCCAAGCACCTGCTGCCTGTCAGCAGCAGTGCGTTACTTCTAGAGATACTCATGCATGAACAACCAAAGCAGGCAGCCTCGCTTCCACGTCCCGGTGACACAGACTCTCCGATGGTTCGAGCTGCGGCGTGCCTTTGGCCTGTGCAAGGCAACTTGCACGGCTATATTCCACACTGTGCTACGCAGGCCGCCACTGTGACACATAGGCCTTCCAGCAAGACCTTGAGTCGCTGCATCATGCACTCTTCCACCACATCCGGCGTGAGGGCTGGTCAGCACGACTGCATAATATGTTTCTGTGCTTTCCCGTTGTGATGAAATGAATTCAGCTGTGCTGTGCCTGCTGTGCCCGGTCCCGGCACCTGCAGCGGTAAGTTACCAGAGCCTTCTGGATTTGAGGAGTGACGATACATGTCGTCTGGTGGCATCGGTGCACGCTCTTGAGTGCGGCCTACTGCCTAAACTGAGCCGGTTACTCCGGGCTGGCGCGGAGCCGGGTCCCATGGAACGGGCTGCGCCAGCACTGCCAGATGTCTTCTGTGATTTCGTGGTCAGATTCGTCGTTGAAGGCATGCATGACCGCACCGTCGCCGGCCTGTGCAGCGGCGTTCCTCGTCCCTCCACAGCTCTCGTAGCGTCTCCTGGAAGGCATGCGACGCGGACCAGCTGGATGCAATGATGGAAATTGAATGTGAAGAAAAATCCACTGACAGGCAAGTCACGCAAATCCATCCACGTGTAAGGTCTCGAACGGAAGCTTCTTGGGCTTCGCAGCTTGGCATCTCACTGGCTGTAGACGAGAGAGGAGGCAGAATGTCCTTTGCCACAGAAGAGAGCTCAGCACTCAAGACGACTGACACCGCAGCGCTCTGACCGTCGCACTGCAGTCCACTTCCACCTGGCCAGCGTTCGCATGCAGGCTGCGACATGCTACGACGCATGGATAAGGCTGTGCCTCACAGGTGGTTGCACGCGGGTGCACAGACTTGGGCCTCGCCGAAGTCGCTTTAGGACGCTTCCATGCGCTTCCGCATCTTCCGCTTCTCCCGGCCTGGCCTGCGCTTAGAGGCGGCTCGGTCGCACCACCAGGGGCGCTCCAAGCGCCTTCTAAGCAATCGTTCTCGTGCGCCAGAGCCCAACTTGGAAACCCACAGAGGATGCCAAGGAAAAGTCGACAAGGCTTGCTCGGGAAGTTCACCACGCAAGGCGATTCGTGTAGGATCGACAACAAGTTCCCTCATGCCACCAAGTCCAAATGAGTCCAGGAAGTGCAGCAGGTATGGCAAGTGCACCTCGAAGGGTTGAAAAGATGTGGACAGCACGGCGCCCTGCTGCAAGAGATGCGCCATCAGTCCCACGTACTGAGGTTGCGAGGCCCAGATTTGGATAAAGAACTCGTCCGCGTCCTCGCCTCTGCCGTGTCCGCTACTATATCCGTACACAGACTGCCAGCCAGTCACCCACCGCAGGTCGTACAAATACCTTGGCCGTGGGGAACAGGTTTTGTATGGGAGGTATGTTTTTTGGTCTTTTTCTGGTTATCTTTTTTGGTTTTGGGTTCGATCCGGGTACAAAACCTGCAAAAGTCACAGGATGGCGACAGCTGAGACTGTATGCGAAGTCTTTTTTGGTGTATGTTTGTGGTTTTCGGCCTGCTATGGCCTACTGGTCTTCGGCCCGCGATCGGTCATTCAGTCTGCAAATCCGATGGTCCGACCGCCGGCCCCGCCAGTTTCATTACCCGGTTGCCTTCAGCGCCAGTTCAGGCTCTGGGCATCTCGGCTTTGTGGCTTTACGTTTTCGATGGCATGATGTTCTTGAAAGCAAGCAGCTTGCGCGGTTTCAAGAAGAAAGCGGGGGTGCTGGGCCTCTACGACGGGCTTTGCAAGGCCTCCCCCATATGTCTTAAACACCCGCCCTCATGTAACAAGTCACGTTCACTACATATTTTAAGCACGCCGCGCCCGTATTTGGTGATTCCGGCTAGTTCCGGCTCATCATATATCGTGAACACGCCCCCTCATTTGGCGATAACGATTCATCACATGTCTTAAACACCCCCCCCCCCATTTGGCGATAACGGTTCATCACTTATGTTAAACCCCCCCCCCTCCCCCTCCTCCCCCTTCCCCCTATTTTGGGGATAACGGTTCATCTGGCGATATCGGTCCATCATATATCTCAAGCACTGGGAGACCGACTGGCGACCGCCCGACTGACTGACAGACCGGCCTGCTCGGGTACCGACCGACGCACCGACTGACTGGCTGGCGGGCTCGCAGATCGACGTTCGACTGACAAACTGACTGGCACTGGCCGACTGATTGACTGACTGCCCGGCGGGCTCACAGATCAACTGACCGACTGACTGGCTGACTGACTCGGCGCTTGAAGCCATTTAGCGAAAACCAAAAACATACAAAAAACACACCCAATAACATACCCCCTAAGAACCCCCAACCAATGCTTCAATTGCCAGTGTTCACAGCAAGCGCGAGCGGCATAGCAAAATTAGCAGCAACTGTGTGGGGATGTGAGATGTGCACATGCATGCAGCTGAATGAGTTTAGTGGGCTTGCGAGGAATGCACGTTGAAGCTTTGTCAACTTGTGTCCTGCATACGATCCTGATGTTGAGTTTTGTCGCAGTGCTCTGTGCTGAAGGGTGCTGCTTGCCTTGCGCGGACTGCTGGGCTGTGCATTGGGCGCCAGGCCTGAAGAACGATACGTCACTCGTCTCTGTTACGGTTAAGATGGGCTTGCGATCGCAAATCGGAAGCTCACCTGAGCCCTCCCTTCTGCTTCAATGTCGAAGATCCCCGATGATACTGGGTCAAAACCAGTGAGCAGAAATGAGCTAGAACGTAGCCTTCAGCGATAGGATAAACAGGCTGCCCCTTGCTGAGACCGCAGCGATCTTTCTCGTGTACCCCAAGCGGCGAAATTGGCACGTCTGAGGGCCCAAACAATGCAGCATGAAGGGATAAAGCTGGTTCAATGGACTCATCAACTGATCCGCACTTGTCGTTCAGCTGCGGGCTGAGCAACCAGGCTGGTCTGGTGCAGACACATTGCCTTGGTAGCTCCAACGACATCGATGAAAATTATTATCAGAAGCACAATGTAAGCTTGCAGCTACACGAACCGACTCTGCTCGCTTACTGTTCCAGTTCACGTCGCGTCTGCGCTGCGTGAGTCTGTTTGCAGCCGAGGCGGCGTGCTCGAGGCCATCGGCGAAGGTTCGTAGGAACCCCTCGACAAGAATTAACAGACTCTGGAGAGTGCGCAGCGGTACTTCCCCGTGAAGGATGGTTTCAAACCTCCGATGTGACACAGGCTGCCGTGCCCTCCGCGACCTACTTGCGCTGCCTCGCGCCCATGCTCCTGGCCGATCTCCTCTATCTGGGCCAAGTTCACCTGCAGCGTATGGCAGACAGTGTTGGCAAATCTTCGAAAGTCTCCCCTCCTGAATGTAGAAGAACGGGAAGATGCCGTGAATGTGAGTGCCTTTGTTGTACCAGGCAAGTTTTCATCTCGAGGAGATTACATTGAATCAAACTCCCTTGTGATCGGTATTGCTGACCGGTCGTGTGGCCACTGGCATGGAATGATTCTTTGACACCCCGGCGACTATGAAAGGCGAAATCCTGAGATCCGACAAACACGGACATGATCGGACATGAAATTGCAAGCTTACGGAAGTGAGCGCGGGGCTTTAGCAAAGGCGTGAAACATGGGCCAAAACGGCGATGCCGTGCCAGGAAAAGCGGCTACTTCTAATGGTTGTTTTCACGGGTTACACGTTGAAGAACTCGAATGTTCTGCACAAAATAACGACCCATTCCATTGAAGATCTCACTCCGACTGTTGGCGTGGATTCCATCCCCAATTTATTCTATCCCTCCTTTCCGTAAGCCCGTCGAACAAGTCGCAAGCAGTCTGTCCGGTATCGGTGTGGCCGAACACCCGGATGACCTTCGCCGCACCACGATGCATATCCAGAAACGCATCAGGAAACGCGAACGCCCGTGAAAGGCCCACAGGGAGTTGTCTTGGGCTGTTGCCGGTACTTCCTTCAGCACCTTGCCTGCAGGTCAAAAAGGTGTAAACGGCTTGCTTCACAGCATGACGTGCATCATCTGAGTCAGCCTGTTGATGGAGATCGGGCTTGATCGCCCACACCTGGCCTGTCTCAGTCAAACCCCGTGCGAAGGCGCGGTCAGGGCAGCTGAGTGCGGACTTTGCGATGTAGAAATCCAAGCTGACAATGGTCACCTTAGGCAAAAATCGTTCGTGATTGTGCTCGGCAAGTTGAGGCCAGGCCTGCTTCCACGAAGTTCTGGAGCATCTATTTCGGTCGTGCACGCTCGGCATGCCTTTTTGCCCGGCATCTTGCCCCATCTAATTCGAAGCAGCAGCCGAAGCGGTGCAAGATGTCCCTGTTACATCGAACGGTCGAGAGTGTCCACGAGGTGTGAGGCCACCAGGAAGCGAAACAATTTTGCAGCAGCTGCTGCTGCATCAGCTGACGCTCACGTCGTAGCGGCAGCAACCAAGGGCTGTGTGTTGGCGCAACTATCAAGTACGTATACAATTGGAAGCAGTGAGCAATTTCTGGGGCAAACTGAGGCTGCAGGTTGTAGCACGTGCAGGATCCTGCAGCGTCTTGCAGGGTGTCAAGCTTGCCCGGAAGGGGAGCTTTTTGACTCCGGGAAGCTGGGGCGGAGCCAGGATGAGCCCGGAGGGCCTAGAACTGCAAGGCTAAATTTGCAGTCGGGCGCGGATCCTGGCCTCGGGTTCTACGATTCCCGCTGCACACTGCTCTCGTGTCAGCCTTCGCTCGATATGCGAAGCTTTCGGGCCAAGGCAAAACTAAAGAGGGCATGATAGAGGCTGAGCCCTCTTGCATAGAAGGCGCAATATCCTGCAGAAATATGCTTTAATTTTGGTCGAGCCTTGCACCCGCCCCACTTGAGACCCGCAAGGGGGGGGGCTCTTGCCGTATAGACTTGCGTGTGGTTGGAACTGGCAATTCGGGGCTGGGCTCTACATGTGTATCTACATGTGTAGCAGCCTTTAAGAAGGAACCAGCTTGTTTCTGGTGAAATAGAGCTGTTTGGGGAGAGGTGCGTCGTGGTCGGAGGTAGCAAGTCGGGGTTGAGTCCGGGATGCGAGGTAGTTCAGGTAGTTGTCAAGAAGAAACCACCCTGTTGTCGGGAGGCTTAGCCCACACTGGAGTGCACGCGAAGTGTCTTTTTTGTCTGCGGGCTTCAACGCGGGTGCTGGCGACACTTGTCTTAACCCCGAAGCTTCTGGACGAGCTGCGGCTCAGCAAGAAGAGACCTGATACAGGAGCGGGTCGAGAATATGCGTGACAGGTTCGGCGCCCCAGCGCAGCAGGTCAGCACGTAAGTTCTGCAGAGTGGTATGCTCGCGTGCATCCAAGCGCTGGAGCTCGTCTCTCAGCGCCCCACGGCGCGTGGGCAAGCTGAGGAAGACAATGCGATCCAAAGAGGGCGCACGACTGAGCAGGACATAGAAGGCAATCCACAGAGTGGCTTGGGAAAGGCCGGGGGCATTGAAGATATCGAGAATAATGGCTTCGAGGGCTTGTCCTTGTAGGACGTACGCCGTACGCGGTTTGGGCTGCAGGGTGATACGTGTTGCCGTGGGCATGCTCGGGGGAGGTGTTTCTGGTAGACGAGCTGCCAAGGTGGCGAGACCAGGTGCGCGTCGTAAAATTGTCCGCGTGCCAGGGAGGGATCTTTGATCCAGGTAGCTTCGGAGGATGGCGCCGAGTGGCGCGTATTGCAGAAAGTGGGGCGGCAGGCCAGGATAATCAGAAAAGCTGGGTTCGCGCGGGTCGAGAACGAGCCGCTCAAGAGTGCAAGGACAGCCTCGGACGACACCGAGCTGTGCGCAAAGCATCGGAATCTCTAGACGGACACGCATGCCGAAGTAGAGGCAGAGCGCGCCTGGGAGTTGGTTGGTGTCAGTGAGCGAGGCGATTCTGAGCATGGCCGTGTAGCATTCGAGCATCCGATGTTTGCAAGAAACTGTTGCCATGACGTAAGCATGCATGTGAAGCAGAAAAGCCTCTGAGGTAGGCGACCACCATGGGCAGTATTGTTAGGTCCAATCAGAGCCATCAAATAACAAAGCGAGCATCGTCAAATATCGCCAGCATCATTGGCAATCGGAACCTGTGGGCGAGCGCATGAGCATCATTGGGGGAGTTACTGATGTTGTTGTGTGGTTGATGCTGTTGATGTTGTAAGTCTGAGGGCCCACACGGAGACGCTAAAAGCATCATGAGCATGGCTGACTGGGGTGCCAATTGGAGCCGGCAGGCGACATTATCAGCATCATGGGGGGCAATTTTTCAATTTGAAAGCCGTCTGAAACACTACTTTCGGACGGCTCTCTGGGTGATTTCAGCCTTCGCCTTCAAGACATTTCAAGCATGGCATGCCTGATGCATCCTGATGCCCCAAATCTTGCACCACTGACCAAGCAAGAACTGCCAGCGTTGCAAACGGGATCCACGCGCAATGGACCAACAACATCACACGGCCTGCTTCACAAAACTTGCCTGGAACTCGGTCAGGCGTGAAGAAACATGAAAAACAAAGCGCCAACACGCGATGTAATAACCCCGGCAACAGGTGTCAACCGGACGTCATCTTGAACACATGGAGTGGCGACGTAGTGACACACTACTACACACTTGTCGGCTGCAGACACCTGCACAGGCTCACTGTTCAAGCCACCGGCTACCGGTGCCTATGCAGAGAGTCTGGCAAACCCTTGCACGCTGACGGCCGCTGATAGACAATGGGATGCTCAATCCTGCTATTCCTGGCAACCGCTTCGTAGGCGCCAGGCCAAGAGCGGTTTGGGCTCGCGACCTTGGTGTGAAGCGCGATGGCACTGGGCAGCACAATGCTGTACATGAGCATTCTTCAATTGAGGATGCTGCCCTGTGCAACATGGGCCGTGTGCATTCAGATGGATAGGAGCCATGGGCGTGAGACGCATCTGAACACACTAAGGCCTTGGAGAGTTGACTCGATGTGCTTCCCTCAATTTTCACGGCGATGAATGTGATTGAACTGCTTACGGAATTCTTCAACAAGGCCTCTTGTTCATCCTTTGGAAGAGACAAGTGTCGACCGGTCGACCGTGCAATGAACTGGCCGAGGCGCAGCATGGTATGTTACCGTCGACAAGGCAAGCACAGGCGCTGCTCTACGACTGACCCATGACAGCCAGGAATCTCTGTTTTCAGCGCGATGGCACGTGCTTGCGCTGGTGAAACAACTCTGCTCTAGAAGTCCGGTGTTGAGATGACAGAGCTCACAGCTTGTCGGGTTCTGCCGTGCGTGGATCCGGAGCTGGAGTGCGAGCAGAAAACTAAACTACGAACACTACTCCCCTGCTGATGCCACCCATGCCCATCAGGTTGAAGTCTCAAGATGTGCTGCAAAGCATCGGATTTAGAATATGTAACATGATCAGCAGAAACAGCGCAGCAGTCAATCGTCCGCCGAGATTTGCTTGATGTCACTCGCGGGATTGACCTCAGAGAAACCAACAGGCGTCACTGGGCAGCCTTGTTGAAGCAGTAGCTCAGTAGTAGAAGTAGTAGTCGCCGTCGTCAGTAGCTAGTACAGTCGCTAGTAGCTAGCAGCTGTAGTAGCTGTTGTAGTAGCAGTAGCAGCAGCAGCAGCAGCAGCAGCAGTAGTAGTAGCAGCAGTAGTAGCAGGAGTAGTAGCAGTAGTAGTAGTAGTAGTAGTAGTAGTAGTGGCAGTAGTAGCAGTACTAGCAGTGCTAGTAGTAGCACTAGTAGTAGTAGTCGTCGTAGTAGTAGTAGTAGTAGGCACGCC